TAATGTTCATTGCATGCATTCTCACAGAGATGGCCGCGCTCCCCCTGGCAATGCGTTCAACTGCCTTTCTCTCCAGAAGGAAGGCACAGTCATGGAAATACTAGTGTATGTGCAGCTCTTGGCTTGGTTGCAGTTGGATCACTGGGGGATGAGAAATTGAGGAAATGCTTTCTTCTGTCTGCATGAGTCTGATGACCTCATCACAGCCTAGGCTATATCACTGACTTAAGAACTGCATTTTAATAATAATTTTAAAAAGGAACAGCTTCTTGGAAAAATGATGTTGCTGCTATGACATGTGAGGAATGTAATCTTGCAGGTCAGTAAAGGCACTGAAATGTCCAGGCTCAGGTACAGATCACCATCAATTTCAAATTCTGTTCTTGTCTGCATGACAACCAAGGAATGTATTTTTTTTTTTCTGGAGTAGAAAGTGAGAATAAAAACTGAGAGTGGGAAATACAAACGCAAAACCTTTTGACCTGTCTTTGTGTGTATGATTGACTATTTTGTCCACTTTGAGGTGGTCCTTGACCTTAAAAGTTCATCAGTGGTAGAAGAGTCAGACTTTTCCATTGAGGCCATGCACTAAGAATCTAATTTCCTTTCAGGCTGTGGATTCAACGTCAGTAACAGCAACCCGACAATCTGTATCAACGATCTCATCTCAGAACACAACAAGCGCTATAAAACAAATATTGAACCTCTAAGGGTGGATACTCTGATAGCCCGGTCTGTGACTGCTCTGGAGGCACTCATTAATACATTTCAATTGATTGGACCCAGTGGCGTCTTGCCTATGTACTACAAATACTGGGTACACAGGTAGGTGGTTTCATCTTTGTTCATGACCCATGTGTCAATGTGGACCAAAAGTTCATGTGTTGAAAACATCAAGATAACTTATCACAGACTCTATATGGTCAAGTGTGAAATTGCGTGTTTTATAAAATACATGTGTCATTCAGAATCATTTAATCCATCATCAAGATAAGGACATTGTCCGCAATTGATAGGTAAACATATAATTTGTCTAATGTACAGTCACGTGGCCAGCCAGTGCCTCCACCGAGGATCAACTCCATGTAACTAAACTACAGGTGCTGTCCAGAATAGACTTCCACTTTAAAAGGAACCTATTATGTCTATGTAGAAGGGCTTTTTTGGTTGCTTCAGAACTGCTTTCTTTTCTCTACATACAAATCAACGGGAATGCAAACACAGCTAGAAGCAGGTTGATGCAGATTAGAAGGAAGGCAAGAGGAGGTCAACTGCTAGTCAAAGGCAGCTGTGAAGGAACTCTGAATGATCTCAGAGGCCTCACAGACTGGTGTCAAATGTAAGCAAAATGCATCGGTTCATATTACCAGAAAACTGCTCCTTAGTAGCTTTTTATTTTTTTTCGCAGAAAGAAAAAAAAAAAAAAGATGAAATTAAAAATGTAAAGTGACAATACCAGCGGCGGACTGACAACTTATGGGGCCCCTGGGGCAATAGGGGATCATGGGCCCCTGTGTCCTTGCCCAAACTCAAAAAAGCCTATGAAAAAGGTACCAGGGGAATCACATGGGGCCCCCTACTGACTCCGGGCCCTCAGGCAGTGCCCAAGTTTCCAAATGGTCAGTCTGCCCCTGGACAGTACTCAAATAACAAATACACATTAAAAAAAAAAAAAAGTAAAAGAAACACTAAATTACATAATTTGATGCAGATTAGAAGGAAGGCAAGAGGAGGCCAACTGCAAGTCAAAGGCAGCTGTGAAGGACCTCTGAATGATCTCAGAGGCCTCCCATTCTGGTGTCAAATGTAAGCAGAATGCATCGGTTCATATTACCAGAAAACTGCTCCTTAGTAGCTTTTTATTTTGCTTTTTTTCACAGAAAAAAAGATGAAATTAAAAATGTAAAGTGACAGCACCAGGGCGGACTGACAACTTATGGGGCCCCCGGGCAATAGGGGATCATGGGCCCCTGTGTCCTTGCCCAAACTCAAAAAAGCCTATGAAAAGTACCAGGGGAATCTCATGGGGCCCCCTACTGACCCCGGGCCCTCGGGCAGTGCCCGAGTTTCCAAATGGTCAGTCTGCCCCTGGACAGTACACAAATAACAAATACACATAAAAAAAAAAAAGTAAAAGAAACACTAAATTACATAATCAAAACTCGACTAAATAAACTCTTCCTGTAGTGTTAGTATAAACAGCTCAGAGAGCGATGTTATGTCCACATCGGCAAAATGTTGCTGATGGAGAAACCAATGTAGCCACAATCTCTCTGCTCATCTCTAGTATAGATGTGATTAGAAGCAATAAGCAACATCAAAACATAAATCAAGCCAATGTTAAAATGTCTTTATGTGCGCTGGGAAACAATGTGTGGACACTTGATCATGACACCTACTGTATGACAAAAAGTACGTGGACGTACATCCAAGTTATTGCTGTTAGGAGTTTTCAGTGAAGTCTGCTATTAATGCTACAGCATACAAAGACATTTTGGCCAATTATGCCCCTGTGCACAAAGGTAGCTACAGTTGTACTACAAGATTTGCTTTGTTGCCCATAGTTTTGGAACAGAACGTCCAACAAGCTGTTGGACGTCAGTGTTCACGTACCTTTTGTAAATAGTGTGGAATTGGTGTGTTTTAGAAGCAGAACTAGTAAATGTTAAGACTAGTAGTATAAAATATAATAGTTTCATTAAAATATTACTAATAAAATATATCAAAGCACATCAATTTTGTGTAAGTATACTTTGTGTCACTAATACATATCACATACAGTGGATATAATAAGTCTACACATCCCTGTTAAAATGTCAGGTTTCTGTGATGTAAAAAAAATTAGACAAAGATAAATAATTTCAGAACTTTTTCCACCTTTAATGTGACCTACAAACGGTACAACTCATTTGAAAAACAAACTGAAATATTTTAGGGGAGGGAAGTAAACATAAAAAACTAAAATAATGTGGTTGCATAGGTGTGCACACCCTCTTATAACTGGGGATGTAGCTGTGTTCAGAATTAAGCAATCACATTCAAAATCATGTTAAATAGGAGTCAGTACACCCCCTCTGATTAACCCCAAATAAAGTTCAGCTGTTCTAGTAGGTCTTTCCTGACATTTTCTAGTTGCATCCTACAGCAAAAGCCATGGTCCGCAGAGAGCTTCCAAAGCATCAGAGGGATCTCATTGTTAAAAGGTATCAGTCAGGAGAAGGGTACAAAAGGATTTGCAAGGCATTAGATATACCATGGAACACAGTGAAGACAGTCATCATCAAGTGGAGAAAATATGGCACAAAAGTGACTTCACCAAAAACTGGACGTCCCTCCAAAATTGATGAAAAGACGAGAAGAAAACTGGTCTGGGAGGCTGCCAAGAGGCCTACAGCAACATTAAAGGAGCTGCAGGAATATCTGGCAAGTACTGGCTGTGTGGTACATGTGACAACAATCTCCCGTATTCTTCATATGTCTGGGCTATGGGGTAGGGTGGCAAGACGGAAGCCTTTTCTACGAACGAAGAAAAACATCCAAGCGTGGCTAAATTTTGCAAAAACACATCTGAAGTCTCCCAAAAGCATGTGGGAAAAAGTGTTCTGGTCTGGTGAAATCAAAGTTGGCCTTTTTGACCATAATTCCAAAATATATGTTTGGCGCAAAAACGACACTGCACATTACCAAAAGAACACCATACCCATAGTGAAGCATGGTGGTGGCAGCATCATGCTTTGGGGCTGTTTTTCTTCAGGTGGAAATGGGGCCTTAGTCAAGGTAGAGGGAATTATGAACAGTTCCAAATACCAGCCAATATTGGCACAAAACCTTCAGGCTTCTGCTAGAAAGCTGAACATGAAGAGGAACTTCATCTTTCAGCATGACAGCGACCCAAAGAATACATCTAAATCAACAAAGGAATGGCTTCACCAAAAGATTCAAGTTTTGGAATGGCCCAGCCAGAGCCCAGACCTCACTCCGATCGAAAATCTGTGGGATAATCTGATGAGGGCTGTGCACAGGAGATGCCCTCGCAATCTGACAGATTTTGAGTGTTTTTGCAAGGAAGAGTGGGCAAATATTGCCAAGTCAAGATGTTCCATGCTGATAGACTAATACCCAAAAAGACTGAGTGCTGGAATCACATCAAAAGATGCTTCAACAAAGTATTAGTTTAAGGGTGTGCACACTTATGCAACCATATTATTTTAGCTTTTTATTTTTACTTCCCTCCACCTAAAAGATTTTGTTGCTCAACTGAGTTGTACAGTTTATAGGGTTACTCTAAAGGTGGAAAAAGTCCTGAAATTATTTATCTTTGTCTCATTTTTTTACAACACAGAAAAATGAATATATATATATATATATATATATATATATATATATATATATATATATATATATATATATATATACACATACATACATACATACATACATACATACATACATATATATATATACATATATATATATATATATATATATATATATATATATATATTAGTTTGAAATACATTATATTGCCAAAAGTATTGGGACACCTGACTTTACACGCACATGAGCTTTAATGGCATTCCAGTCTTAGTCCGTAGGGTTCAATATTGAGTTGGCCCGCCCTTTGCAACTCTTCTGGGATGGCCGCCCACAAGGTTTAGGAGTGTGTCTATGGGAATGTTTGACCGTTCTTCCAGAAACGCATTTGTGAGGTCAGGCACTGATGTCAGACTAGAAGGCAAGTTCCTCCACCCCAAACTTGCTCATCCATGTCTTTATGGACCTTGCTTTGTGCACTGGTGCGCAGTCATGTTGGAACAGGAAGGGACCATCCCAAACTTCCCACAAAATTGGGAGCATGAAATTTTCCAGAATGTTTTGGTATGCTGATGCCTTCAGAGTTCCCTTCACTGGAACTAGGGGCCAAGCCCACCCCTGAAAAACAACCCCACACCATAATCCCCCCTCCACCAAACTTTACACTTGGCACAATGCAGTCAGTCAGGCAAGTACCGTCCGTCTGGCAATCGCCAAACTCAGACACATTCATTGAAATGCCAGACAGAGAAGCATGATTGGTCACTCCAGAGAACACGTCTCCACTGCTCTAGTGTCCAGTGGTGGTGTGCTCTTCGCCACTGCATCTGACACTTTGCATTGCACTTGGTGATGTAAGACTTGGATGCAGCTGCTCGGCCACGCAAACCCATTCCATGATACTCTCTGCGCACTGTTGTTGTGCTAATCTGAAGTTCACACAAAGTTTGGAGGTCTTTAGCTATTGACTCTGCAGATGGTTGGCAACTTCTGCGCACTGTGCTCTCCAGCATGCGTTGACCCGCTCTGTCATTTTACGTGGCCTACCACTTGGTGGCTGAGTTGCTGTTGTTCCCAGTTTCTTCCACTTTGTTATAATCCCACTAACAGTTGACCGTGGAATATTTAGTAGCCAGGAAATGTCACAGATGGACTTATTGCACAGGTGGCAACCTATCACGGGACCACACTTTGAGTCACTGAGCTCCTGAGAGCGATCCATTGTAGAAGCAGTCTGCATGCCTAGGTGCTTGATTTTATACACTTGTGGCCCTGGAGGTGATTGGAACACCTGAATACAATGATTTGGAGGGGGGGCAATACTTTTGGCAATCTAATGTCTCTTAGATATAATATATGGCACAACAGGACTATAAAAAGGGGAGACCACACTTGTTTCCTGTCCATAATGCCCACTGGCATATCCCCTGCTACCCCTCTACATAATGTAAATAATTTTACCTTGAAAAATTACTACTACCAGTAAGGCTGAACTGCCTTTTTTTTTTTTTTTTTTTTTGTGTGTTGTTTACTTTTTTGTGACTGGCACAGTCCATTCCTGATTGAAGTGCTGCTTACTTTTTATGAGTTCTACATCTACAACCACTGTAGACTGGAATCTACAATAATGAAAGATTTGGGTCCCTCATCCTCTATATATTGTTACTGACATTGTACCATTGTCCTCAGCACGCAAGTGACATGACTTTGTGTTTTGCAGTGGGCAACAAGTTCGGCTTGGTGGTGAAGATGGCCCATTAGCTTGGATTGTTGGTCTAGATGACTCTGGTTTCCTCCAAGTCCTTCAAGAAGGAAAAGATGTCATTACTGTCCATCCAGATGGAAACTCTTTCGACATGATAAGAAACTTGATTGTACCAAAACGTTAAGAATCTGGACTTTTTACGAAATTTAACATTTCTGTGATATAGACATTCCCCAAACCATGGACATTTCCCTTCCTCTCTATTTGAAATATTGTATTTTTATTACTACATGGTAGGCTATGAGATTTCTTCAGGACTGGATAAAGTAGCATCACAGAAACGCTGTTGATTTTATAGTTGATCACAAATTTTTCTTTGCCAAGCCACAGATCATAAACTCTGAAAATTAATTAAATTAATGGTTCACTATCTCTCACACACACATACACTATATACACTCAACGACCACTTTATTAGGTACACCTGTTCAATTGCTTGGTAACACATCAGCCAATCACATGGCAGCAACTCAGTGCATTTAGGCATCTAGACATGGTGAAGACGACTTGCTGGAGTTCAAACAACTGAGCATCAGAATGGGGAAGAAAGGGTATTTAAGTGACTTAGAACGTGGCATTGTTGTTGGTGCCAGACAGGCGGGTCTGAGTATTTCAAAAACTGCTGATCTACTGGGATTTTCACACACAACCATCTCCAGATTCTTAGCTGACAGGAGTGACACCCAGTGTGATCTTCTGTTGCTGTAGCCCATCTGCTTTACGGTTCAATGTGTTGCGTGTTCAGAGATGGTAATCTGCATACCTTGGTTGTAACAAGCCATTATTTGAGTTACTGTTGTCTTTCTTTCATCTCAAACCAATCTGCCCATTCTCCTCTGACATCAACAAGGCTTTTTTGTCCACACACCTGGCACTCTGGATATTTCTCATTTTTCAGGCCATTCTCTGTAAACCTTAGAGATGGCTGTGCATGAAAATCCCAGTAGATCAGCAGTTTTTTAAATAATCAGACCAGCCCGTCTGGTACTAACAACCATGCCACGTTCAAAGTCACTTACATCCCCTTTCTTCCCCATTCTGATACTCTGTTTGAACTTCAGCAAGTCATCTTTACCACATCTAGATGCCTAAATGCATTGAGTTCCTGCCATGTGATTGGCTGATTAGCAATTTGTGTTACCAAGCAATTGATCAGGTGTACCTAATAAAGTGGCTGGTGAGTGTATATCAGACCTTATAGCCTGATTTTTGTGAAATTGAATTAAATTGGACCTATGTTGTAAACAAATGCACCCACCCCATGTTCTCAAGTGTCACACATGTAACTATTAAGGCAGACACATGATCTGCGTTAAAGAGGGTCAGGTGCAAAATGCCCCCACAGTCAGCAAGGATTTAAAAAAAAGAAAAGGTAAAATCTAAAATACATGAAAAGTTAGGTAACTATATACAAATTTTTTATAGTGTCCCTTTAGGCTAGGCTCACATATGTGCGGGTGGTGCAGCTGCAGATCCGCACAAAAATCCGTGCAGCCGCACCACCCACACAGAAGAATACGGACCCGCGGGTGGGTGCCATTAGTTCTAATGGAACGCCGCCCGCACTAGAAATCGCAACCGCACTGAGAACCGAGGTTCCCGTGCGGGCTGCGTTTTCCAAAGAAGTACAGGGACTTCTTCCCTGCGTGTCACGGTATGGGAGTCCATTCAAATGAATGGGCTCTCGTGCCTGCGGAAAACGCGGCCCGTACGGCCACATATATGTGAACCCGGGGCTAACAGGTTTACATTTGAGGTTTTACATTTAAAACGGTATACTTAGAATTTAAAGAAGAATACAAATTGCACTCATTTTTATTATTGTTATCTTTATTCTTTATCTCAGGTGCTGGAAAAGCTGTATGGAAAAAAATATTAAAAGCATATTTTGTATTTGCATAGTTGATGATTGTGTTGTGCCTTCCTCAACAATTATATTCTTTCTCAGATTCTTAGGCTTTCTGAACTACAGGCATTACAGGTGTGTAAAGACCGGTTCTAAAAATGGATTATGTTGTTGTCTGCAGGCTGTAGCACATTCTGGCTTCCTTGATCTCTGAAAAGTAAAAATACAGTGTTGTATATTATTAGTGTAGCGGTATTTGTACATTTTGTGGCTACTGGGGTAAGATGGCACCACCTCTATAGTATTTAGGAGCAGAGTCCTTATAATTTGTGTGATCAGGACAAGAACTCTAACAAGCGCTAGTGCCTCCATTCAATTGGGGCTTGTGGATAACAAGTGAAATCCCAAATGAGAAATGTATCATCCATATAGACAGTAATCCACACAGCATTGTATATGAAAGTCCATGTATTGAAGAAATAACATTCAGTGAACCATCCAACATAAAGTATCTTCCAAACAGGAACATTAAAGCATTAACAGTCTTGTTTGCATGTCTCAGTGAGGGCCCTACTCTTTCGAGCTTACAATCTAGGAGGGAGGGGGTAGTGGTACAGGAGGAAGTGGCTGTGGGGGGTGGAGTGGTAGGAGGAATGAAGGTGGATGGCTGTTAGGTGAGGGTGGGGTAGGCTTCCCTGAAGGGATGGGTTTTCAGGGAGCACCTGAAGGTGAGGAGGGAAGGCGACAATCTGATGGATTGGGGTAGTGAGTTCCAGAGGATGGGGGAGGACCTGGAGAAGTCTTGCAGTCGTGCGTGGGAGGAGGAGACCAGGGAGCAAGACAGAAGGAGGTCCTGTGAGGAGCGAAGGGTATGGGTAGGGTGGTACTTGGGAATCAGGTTGGTGAGGTAGGTAGGCGCAGTGTTGTGAATGGCTTTGTAGGTCAGAGTTAGCAGTTTGAATTTGATGCGTTGGGCAACCGGGAGCCAGTGGAGGGATAGGCAGAGGGGAGTGGCAAAGGTGGAGCGGGTGGTGAGGTGGATGAGTCTAGCAGCTGAGTTCAGGATGGTCTGAAGCGGGGAGAGCCTGCGCTGGGGTAGGCCGGTGAGAAGAAGGGAGTTGCAGTAGTCAAAGCGTGAGATAATCAGGGAGTGTACGAGTAGTTTAGTGGTGTCTGGGGTAAGGAAGGATCGTATCTTGGCGATGTTGCGGAGGTGGAGCCTGCATGTGTTTGTAAGTGATTTGACATGAGGTTGGAAGGAAAGGTTTGAGTCCAAAGTGATGCCAAGGACTTTGGCTTGCTGGGCAGGATTGATGGTGGTGGTGTTGGTAGTGATGGATAGGGTGGGGGGGGGGCGTGGGCTGGGGGGGAAGACGAGGCGCTTGGTTTTGGAGAGGTTAAGCTTGAGGAAATGGAGTGACAGGATGTCGTTTAGGAGGTGAGTGATGCAGGCGGAGACTGTAGGGGTGAGGTGAGGGGTGGAGAGGTAAATTTTAGTGTCATCAGCGTAGAGGTGATAGTTGAAGCCCTGGGAGTGTATGAGTTTGCCAAGGGAGGAGGTGCATAATAGAAGTATACACTAGAAAATGGGCAAAGAAGTGATCACATCACTACATTAGTATAGTATATTATTCTCCTAAAAGCCAGTGATGAGATATGCTCACCTGAATTCTCCTTCCAAGTGCTGCATCCATGACAAAGCTGAATTTTGGTGTTATTCTTCCCCCATGGAGTTTGGGATTATATGAAGATATTAGAACAGGGTTTTTCCACAAACATCCTCCTGTTGTTGGACAATCAACATCTGCCTTGACACATTCCATGGTGATTGTATTATAGGTTAAGTTCACCTTTTTTTCTAAAATCCAGCTCCTCTATGAACCAATACACCAGAAAAATAAACACTTTTTTTTGATTTTGAGAACAAGGCCTTACCTTAGCCCGTACTGTATTTCCAAGAAAGCTTCATCACTTGCTGGTATGTAGATTTAGAACAGAAAAACCAGTGGGACACAGGAAGGCATTTATCAGGTGATCTGGTTAGCACATGCACCCTGCACTGACCTCATTAAAACCCACACCCTTCACCCATCAATTATTTTTTCACATCATCCCCAGCATCTCTCCACTTATGCATTTGCCTGGCTTCCCCAGCTTCCCTTCAGACTGGCTCAGGCCACATGCTAAACTCCCTGGGGCCACATGCAGCTCACAGGACACCACTGATGTAGTGCAAGGGCCTGTCTGATTGGATACAGAGTGATTGGATAGATGGTGTGTCGTCCTATTATATAGTTTTGGTAAATCCAAAGGAGATTGTACAATCAGATTGTTTATATATACATCTAAAATTACCTAGTTGCGCTTTCAGCGTCATTAATTGTTAATGGCACACCAAACACAGAAGCAAACATACATTTTGCTACATGAAAAAACGGGTGACAAACGCAGCAAAAGGCACAGTAAAAAACGTGAAACTTGCGCCACACCAAAATGTTCCATGAGCTACTTTGCCACGTGTAGCGCAGCCCATTGCAATCAACAACTGCCCTATGTGTGTCACTGAAAAGACAAGCCA